GTTTTTGACAGGACCTTTCCGCGATAAATTTTTCGAATACTTCGCTTCGACCGGAATTAAAACGCTTTTATAGGATTGCAGCTGATGCTTGTGAGTCGTTAAAGTTGCTTATTAAATTTCTGTTTTCATGTAATTCGACCAGCTCGTAATTCCAAAATTGCTTTCTATTTACCTAGTTATATATTTCACAAATTAATTTCTACAAGCGACTATTTTACAAACAAAGTACTCATATCTCATGTATATACATATTTTCAAATTTAACCATCTTACTGAAACCTGTATGTAATATGGAAGGAAGGAAAACTTTTAAAATTAAATTCGGAACAATATATATTTACGACATCCCTATATGATGTAGCATTCAACTCTCGGGAGATATATCTGAACACCCCCCAGTTATAACCTGCTTGGCTAACATCAAGGTTTTGCATTTACGTAAAAATTTACGGCGGTAAGTTTCAAACTTTTTATGCGCAGATAACAATGAATGACAGTAAAATTTTCGACTAGAAGAGATACGCCCGGTTTATATTTGTCCGCGGGGATTCGTCCCGGAAATGCATTAATTTCCGGCGTATCTTTTTTTTGGACATATTAAATCGAACTAAATTCGCGATAAGTCCGCCGTTTCTTACCGGATTCCGATGTCGAAGGTTTTGCGCTCATAAACAGAAAAAAACCGGCCGGCGATAAGCGGAAGAGAAATGTTTGCGCAAATTAAATTCCGGGTCGGGAAATTGCTTTCTTTTTGATTTCTCGCGTAAGGGCTGAACTCTTTTTTTGCTCGTTATTCTCGATAATTGCTACACTTGCCTTTTTGATTTCAGGAGCGAGCGCCGATGCAAAAAACGTCGCTTCATAATTCCCCGGTTAATTAATTCAGTTCAACTCGGAGAAAAATGTCGTGTTTACGTTTGTCTTTATTGAATTATCACGGGTATTTTTACTATTCTAACTATTCATCATCAAAACTCCAAATTTATTATCACTAAAGAATTAAATTAAATTTGAAGTAGCTACACCCTTTGATTATAAATTAATGAGAATTTTTTAATAGGTATTTTGCATAAAAATGCAGGAAACTATGCTTTTGTAATAAATGTATTAAACTTTTCTTTACCTTAATCGTTGGATTCGTTTTAAAAAGTTCTTCTTATCCATCAAGTTTCCTTATTGCATTTAGTAACACTTAAGCCGGACTAGAAAGTTTGTATGGCGGAAAAATAGATTTAATGCAAAATTGATTGAAAAATTTTTACAATCATCTAACAAATATAAATTATATGGACTTTCTAAGAATAACAGTAAATTATTAGACAAGTTTATAGGGTTATTTTTTCGGTTTCTCACTTATTTGCTGATATCAATTATTGGGTTTAAACAAACGGCCAATATTGATTCGGTAAATTTAAAATTTGACATCCAATGGAAGCTCGTCTGTTAAGTTATAGTTTTCCACACGTGTGAGGAAAACGAGTTTTCCCTAGCACATGTAGAAAATGTGCTCTCTCTACCGTAAGAACTAAATAAACTAAGGAAACGTTACCGCCGTATCGGCCGCAAGAAAATACATTTCGAACGAAATCCGGAAAACAGTAAATTATATTTATAATTGACTGTAGTGTTTCGGATCGAATTCCTTCCGACATGCAGTAAAGGTGTATTGATCTTCGGCTCTTTTGTCAAAAATAACAAAACGCGACCGTTTGTTTGCGGTAACAATAGACTAACAACTCCGCCGTCCGGAAATCCAGAACTCCCTGGATGTATCTCGCGCGGTCGCCCCGCAACTCCGAACTTGTAATTGGAAATTTCTTCACCGAGGGGAATTATAGGTGTTAGTGTAAATACGGCGTAGAGATATATCTATACCGTATTGTTTCTCCAACATTGTGGAATAACACGGGCATCGAGAGCATATTCAATATTGTTCTACATGAGGTCGGAGGTCCAATATCTGTAGGTAGGTAATATTATCGCTGACAGATGTCAGTTCTCATCATTTTTCGGCGCGTTACCGCACCTTATATCCGATTTTGATAAAAGTATCGTGAAAAGGGTCTTAAAGATTTCGCTGGCGCTTTATACAAAACACGCAAAAATGATATTTCGTTTTAAAAATAATTTTCGATCGTTTCTGCCAGATATAAGCCCCCTATCATCTCTGTATTCTCGATCGAATAAGATTATATGATCATCCTTGCTTGTCTCCAAAATATATCAAACCTTGAATTTTTCTCCGACACATTTTAATAAATATTATGGGATTTGAGGTAATCAGAAGACATCTTGTAACTGATTTATTATGAAATTAATTGGATTGTTCTCAGAAATGTTACTCAATCTTTAGTAATCCTACACTTTATATTCTCAAACGAAATTGATTTCTCTATACGTTTCATAAGACTAAAATTAAATATACTATAGGGTTACCCACTCCATTTAATTTATATTTACGTTACGTGCAAGTATAGTTAATCAGGAATTTCATATGTATACGAGGTAGTCAATTATTAATTTATCTCAAATATGTTATGGAGCTATGGGTTAATTAAGTGTAAGAATTAGCATGTAAAGATCAATTAGAAAGCTTTTAGTAAAATCTACTTTAAAACCACATCGAATTTAATCGGTTTTCTTTTGGCATTTGCATCTGGAATGGCACAGAATTCGGAACGCCGCTTCCATAAACTTCCTTTACAGCACTTCTGTTGCAGAAATCAGATCTCTATCTGAGCTAATACCTTAATATTTGCCATAGTTACAGCATTGTAGTGATATCGTAATATGCAAATAAGTTCGAAACAGTTTCAACAATAAACAGAGGGTAATTTTCATAGAATTTATAATGTTTGAGCGTTGTATTATCCCTTTGTACGATCTAGGTAAAATAGCATTTTGCTTCGAGTGCAGTAGCGTTTCCATATCGAAACTATTTGGAAGCTCATTAAAAAAAACGCTATTAGGGGAATTTGAATTACCCATACGGATTAGTAATTGGAAAATGGTAATTTGTACGGTAATTATGGAAATGGGTTTCTTTTTGTGCGGTTGGTATATAAATGGAATTGAAATTTTTTCCGGTTCGCATCGACCGACGCTGCACTGAGGACGTCTTTTTCCAGGCGCCGTCGCGCACGTTCGATCCTAATTAACCGTACCAGAAATCTGGTATGCGAAAACTACTGTTTCTATCGAAGAATTTAATCGAAATTTGCAATTCCGAACGGGAAAACTGAAAACGAAACACGTCCATTATATTGCAAATTGGATTATTAGCTAACATTCATCATCAAGGTAACGAGGGTAGAATGTACAATATACGGGTGCTCGCATATAGCTACTAGTTTTGTGCTCGTTTTGATTATCAAAAATAAAAAATGTAGGATGTTTGGCGATTTGAAAGGTCGAGTGATTTGTTTTTCGCGGGAATTGTTGAAAATTGGAATGTTTTACATTTTTTAAAACGGTTACTATTCGAATTTATGGCGGAGGAATTTACACAAAATTTGGTGGATTATTTTTTATTTTAAGTAAACAAGATGTATTAAATTGGTAATCATGTAACCTGTTCATCTATAATTACGGAAAAATATTTTCTTAAAATCGTCGAAAAATAACTCAAAATAATGTATAATAAATAATTTTCTGGTATAATTTAAATAATAAAATTAATCCTAATTTTTTTTTGTAAAAATTCATAAAATCCACATACCGACTCAAATAATTCATAATGATAATCTAAACGTATATTTTATCTGTGCAAAATTAAACGTGTTTAAGTCATTTTTCATAAAAAAAGGCAAGTTGGAAAACTTATATTTAACCGGTAACTCTCCTTATACGACTTTGGGTCCGCAATGAATCAATTTTTCTTGTGCAACCAGCGGCGTATCAAAGAAAGATTTCCAGATTTATGAAAGAAATACTGGTATCTAGCTAATTTATATTTTTGCATTTTCCGATTGTATAATGTATAACAATATTTTTAATTAAATGCTCTCAGAAAAAAATATCTGTTGAAATACAGGGTGTTTTGCTAATAAACATGCTAATACTGAAAGGGGTGATTCTTGGGCCCATTTTAAAGAAGAAACTTCATATGAACTTCATATGTCCTAAACGTCTTTTGAGATATAGGGTGTTAAAGTTTTAAGAAAAAAATCAATTTTTTACTGTCATTTCCATACCACTAAAATTTGGTGTATGTTAAACAGAATTTTTTAACCTTAAAACATTTTTTATTTCCAACAGTGTCGTCCATACTGGACTCCAAATATTTTTGAGGGTAATAGTAGTACGCCACTGCTTTCTCTTGATATAAAAATTATTATTAGAGGCCTCGTTCAATTTAGAACAAATTTGTTTTCTTGATTTTTTTTTTCATACGACTCACCGTTTCGCATAAAAAAATAAATGCATTCATTTGTACTGTGTAGCTACATTAGTCGCTGAGTTGAAATTAGGTAATAATAAATTTTAGGTTTAGGACATAACATGTTATTAAAAAACACCCTGAATAGAAACATTTTCTTGTATCAACGTAATGAAACAAAAAAAAAATTCCTTTGAGAGTTATATCCCAGTAACGCCGCTGTGAGCGATGAAAACCCTCGTTCCGAAGAAAATATTAATTCCGGTACGATACTTGACCTTTTATTGCTTTTTTGATTTCCGCTGTCGTTATTAGGAAACATAAATTATTGAACGACTTCAGAGTTGTCTGCTTTATTGTTTCCACTTGTAAAATTTCCAAACGTCCCTTCGAAATCTGCTACTTTTCCGACCGTTTTTTTATTATACTCTTTACCGACGAAGTCGACTCTGCAGGTGGAATCGATCGACTATTTCCCTAATTTTCGATCCTCGGAATTTCATTTTAATTTCCGAACCCCAAAGAGTTTTCTAATCAATCAATCCACGATGTGAACTTATTGCCTCTTAATTCATAATGAGGGTACATACTGCAGCGTACATACAAACATTTTTTTTTCCAGCTTTTAGTGAATACGATCTTCTCCGTGCCATTTCCATACCTTTCCCGGACTCGAAGACGCAGTACGTGGACGAGGACGGTCACGACGGCTTCCCAGCGTTCGGATTTAGAGCCGGATCAGACGTGAAAATCGCCCACAGGCAAATACTGCCCGAGAAACTTAGCTCCGAGTTTTCGATATTAATAAGCGCCAAGCCGAAGACCAGACGGGCCGCATTCATCTTTGCAGTCGTTAATCCCTACGACACGGTGAGTTTCTGTTTGCACTAGATATTCGATACCCGCACATATTTCATAACCGAAAGGGTTGATACCGGACTAGTCTGGACGAGCTTAAGGGGTGGCGATTTTCCTTATAATTAGCAACTCTCATGTTCAAGAAAACTCCTTCTATTCATCCATTAACAACGCTGCTTAGCTCTATTGTTAACTCGGCAGGTAGTCGAGTTGGGGGTCAGAATAGCCCCGGAGAGCCATTCCACCAGCCTGCTGAGCCTCTTCTACACGGACTCCACCCAGATCACGTCGCATAGCATCGCCAACTTCACCGTGCCGAAGTTCCACAACAAATGGATAAGGTTCGCGTTCCGGGTGGGCCTCGAGAACGTCACATTGTTCTTCAACTGCAACGAAACGGAGACTGTTTTAGTCCGCAGGAGCCCCTTGGAATTGGGCTTCGATTCGGCGTCGACTTTGTACCTGGCTCAAGCCGGGCCCAAATTCGGTGAACCGTACGAGGTAAGTGGTGATGAATATTTCAAAAACTGGAGGGTTGCGATCAACAAAGGATTTAGTATATACGATGGATAATGTATTGATAATGTTATATCGAATGTGTTCTCGGTAATTCGATTATCTACCCATAGGTGTGTGAAATACCAAGAGAACGTTTTAAATTATACAGGCTATAATGGATGCAGCGACCAAAGAGACCTCAACTAGTCGCAATCGATACATTGACTAATAGTTAGTTATTGGATAGATTGCTCAGGGTATTATAATGTGCTGCTATACTTCGTTATGTCGTCACTGCGATTAAATATTCATCGATCGGAATATTTATTTTTTCATTTAGAGTATTAAACTCCAAACGATAATTAATAGGTTTAGAATTAGATCGAGTAGTGGAGTAATAAGTTCCATGCACAAATACCCTTCAAAGGATTTAAGTAATTAATACCTAACCTGCGCAAATACAAATTCCATTATTTAAGTAGTCAATAAATTGGCATTATAAGTAAATCCTTTGTTGATTGGCATCCGAACAATAGGTAATTTCCAATTCCAGGTAAACCAATACGCCATCAACTCAAATTAACTTTACCTATTATTAATTATTTGAAAGTTGTTTATTTCACTGGTGGGAGATATCGGCAAAATCGATAGAAGACTTTTTGCTCGTATTGTATATTTCCCCGTATCAAATCCGGAAATTATTCTTACAAGTCCCTTTAAGAGCTACCGGTTTAACTAAGATCATCGTTGGGTTTTATTTTTCCCCGAAATAGCCGCCGGTCGAAAAAAAAAACAACGACTTTCTGTATTTAATTACCGCTATCTCGAGTTAATTGCTCTATAAAAAATCCGGATAATTCTCATGGAGGAAACTAAAGCCGGAAGCAGAAAAATGTCGGTGTGCCATTAACGATAAAACTTTCAATGAGCGTTAAAATCATTGGGAAATTTCATTTTGTAGTTTTCGTTTCGTTTATTTCGAAAGATTGTCGCAAAGTAATAAAATAAAGTACACTGTAAAAATAAGAAAATTAGTGACAATTAATTATACCTATGTTGTATGCAAGTGTGGATGCCATAAATTTTACGTTGAATTTTTGATATTTACTCACCTCAAGACAAATTTAATTCTAACAGCACCTCAATTCTGAATCGAATAAAATTTAATAGGTAAATAAAATGAATTTTTCAAGCATACAATTCGTTGGAAATCGAGATCATAGCACGGAACGGCGTCCTATTAAAGACCAAAGCGTGCAATTCCGGTGAATCGGGCGTCGGCGGCCATACCGATCGCCTCAGTCAATCTATATACCCGTGGAGCGCACTCAATATGCATAGGTAGCTACATAAATACGGACCTAATGCACATTACGCCCTATCTCTTGTGACACTAACAGCGCCGATATGGGGCATTGGGAAGATAGAATTTTTCGGTAAAAATCCGAATGGGCGCACGGCGCGTTTATCTCCTCGTATGAAAGGTCGCGATAGATGATTGGGCATGGAAAACGGGGTCGAGTGGCCTGCATCGAAACGACAGATGCATTGATCACTGTTTTTGAATTTGCATCTGCGAGAAATGTATAGCGTAGATAATGGAATCTATCGATCAAAAATGTCTAACTGAATCCCTAAATATTCGTAACATATCTCTAACAATAAATTATTATTTCTTGGAGGGTGAGTTAGGTTAGTGTATAATTGAATGATTTTTTATTCACTTTATAAGGGCGATGGTGGAATTTTCGGTTCAAGAATAAAACAAACGCCCGGTTTGAAAATTAATAAAAAACTTAAATTAGAATTTCCGAGTAGCGCGCGTTTCGAAACAATGCTTTCTCTTTCGAAGTTGTTCTTCTGTGGGGAACATCAACTCTATACCTATACTGTCAAAGAAATCTTCAAAGTTTAATTCCGAGCATTTCATTATATTTCGAGTACGGCAAATTATAATTTATCTAATTAATTCCGTCTTTCACAAAGAAAGCTCTAGGTACTTTCCGTCTTACGTACGACGTTATTTCGATAACGTAACGCTTCCCGCACGTTCTTCCCCGCTATAATGAAACACCTTTCAAGTCGCTCGTTCGCAGCCGAACTTTACAATGTTTCACTTACCTCCTTGCGAGAAGGATAAATTCGAGCGACGAGGGACAATTATGTGCCAAACCGGATATCGAGGGTCCGGAGTTTTAGCGGTCGTCGCGGTTTCTTTCTACTACCCCGTTTCTACTCAGCAACTTTCGCCTCGAATAAATCGCCAGGTTCGCCTATTCAGGATTTCTCATTCTTGCGAATGCCCCGTTTCGGTTACGTTTTATTTGAATAGTTTCGGTGTAATATGATCGGAAACTTACAGTGTTTCGAATTCGAATTGTTATCGAATTCTCCGGATTTTTTCGCTGTTATTTTCGCTAATAAAAAATCGTATTATAATGAACAGTCCTATGAGATTTTCGTATAATCTGCTTGGGTCGAATTCTCTCGATTACTCTCGAAATGAAACGGCGGATTTTCTCTAAAAAGTATCTATTCGATAAAAAATCAAAGGAATCCCGATTTATCGTAATTTGATCGTAAAAGTTTCGTATTTGGCGGTCAAACGGGCGAGAGAGTTTTCCTAACGTCTGCATTTTACAAAGTTCGAGTGCCCTTTAAATACTGTCATTAAATCTAATGGTCAAGTCGAGAATGAAATTAGTTTTTCGCGTCTTGCATGGTCGGAATGAGCCTGACGATTTTGCGAATTTTTATCGCCGAAACTTTTCCCATTAAACCGGTTATTTTCTTAAATTATAGCAAAATAAATTTGTTGTTGTTTTACAGTTGAGCGATTCTTAATATTTTTGGAAATAAAAATGAAAAAAAAGATGCATTTTTTTTCATTTTGGTGAATACGCTTCTAAAGCTCTTTCACGCAACAACAAATTTTGGCGGATGCGCTTCAAGCTCTACTGGTTATTTTAATCCTATCACAAAAATTGGCGGGTGAGTTTTTACTTCCACCAAAATTAATAAAACTTCCAGTTCACTTTTTTAAGTGAAGTGCATTTAAAGTACCTACATTCTTTCCACATAACAATATAATATCTAAACTATCGCCTGAAGGGTGACTAGAAGATGCATTAATCGTTTCGAATAAATAATATCGCATGGCAACCGTTCGGCGGCTCGTTCTAATTTCAATTTGGCGTAATTACTCGCCTTTATACAACCGTACCCTTTTGCAATTAGCATGTCTGATATTCGGAATTCCTCGTGAGCAACGCGGTCGCTACCAATTCGTTTTATACACTCGCAGTTGTGCTCCATCCAGACGTAATTCCAGCCGGGATGCACTGCGCCGCAATATTCCTTCGAATTTAAGAGACGCTAATTCGATTCCTAAGTTTATTGGACCCGAAAGTTTGTTTGTATTAATAAATATGCATCGGTTTCGCCGTATACGCTATACACATTATCGGTCGCTATTACTGCAATATTTCGCGACTATGTTAATTCAGTTATTATTACTTTTGGTTAACCAGCAAGTTCAAGTTCTCTTGCTGTTCCGATTAGAGGGATTTTTTAGGGGTATATTATTATAGAGCTTTATTACAGTGGAACATTTTCATAATGTGTGCTTAAAACATACTAGAGCTTTTAAAAATAATTTTGGCGAATTGTCAGTTCTTATGCAAACTCGTAAAATTTTCCGGAAGCGAAACTTTCGGTTCTTGCTCTTTAATCGGCGCGCGGAAAGTCGGAAAAATCCATTCCTCACGTACTAACGCCGAACGGTCGTTTGGAAAACTGCCGTTAGAGTTAATGAGTTAACGCAGCGCGCCTGGAACGCAGATAAAAAGAATTACGAGCGGGGAAGTTTTTTTCCGGGTACGTACCGAAAAATAAAGGATCCTCTCCCGGCGGATCGGCGTCGGTCGTTCGGGCCGGCGAAAAGTTGGAGGTGAGAGCCCTCTTATCGGGACCGACTTTATTGTATCCCATTTCCTGGAGAAGCGGAGGCAAATGCGCGCCGATTACGCCGCTTCCAAATCGGGTAGCCAGGTATCTGGATGAATCACATGATTGGAAAATTGAACTGAGGGTTCGCCGAACAAAGCCCGGGTTAATTATTGGAGAAAACTCTACCGGATACTAAATAGCTCCTAAATTGAACTTATGATGATCGTATTTGGAGATTACATGAAGTTAAGTGGAGAGGAATACCACTTTAATCGAGTTCTAAACTATTTAAATAGAGATTCCCAGCACACATTTTTGCTAGCGATTTTGATGATATTGTGGGTTTACAGTGACATTGTTAATTTATTAATGAATTAAAAATTGCAAGGAGATATTAAAAAAAACATTTAGAACAACTGGGGCATAGTTTTAACTGGAATAATTCGCCTCGGGTATTTTTTACATAAAATTTATATTGCCGGTTCCAATGTAAAGCAACAGAATAACAAGAAAAGCAAACAGAGCGTGCAATGTATACATTACTTACGCGCATGAGAACGAACGTAACGTAAGTAGGTAAACACACCTACGGAAAAAATACCGAATGCAAGATGAAAACTACCTGGAAAACCGTTCGAATTAATATACGGCTTTTAAATTCTTAACGACTTGCTGAAACATTAATAAATGTTGCAATATTAAAACAGTGTTCACTGAATTATAATTGGATTTTTAAGAATAGTGCTTTGCGAATGCTGTCAGTGCATCAACAGTTGAGGAAAATCATTAGAAAGGAGTGGTTGCTTTCGTAAGAGTTTCTTGAAATATTAAAATGCCTGTTTATAGTTTTACCTTTAAATAATTGGTTTATATTGTTTATATGGTCAAAAATGGCAAATTGTCCAAAATTCCTAAAAAATTTTAAATAGTGTAAGTAAAATAATATAGCAATTTAAAAAAAATTCAAAACATATGAGCGAGTGTATTCAAATAGTCTCTATTTATTAAACCCTTTGATACTGCGTGTTGCTATCGCAGATTTTTTAAACCACAAA